CTCGCTCGCTCGCTCCCTCTCTTATCTCTCTCCATCTGAATTTATATGAGCGTATGTGTGAGTGTGTGTATGTGTTTGTCTGTCTGTGTGTTTTTGTGTGTGCTCGTGTGTGTGTGTTTGTGTGTGTGTGTTTGTGTGTGTGTGTGTGTGTGTGTGTGTGTGTGTGTATGTGTGTGTTCTTCTGTCTTTAGCTTTCACGAATAAGCCACGGGTTATATCAATTATCAAAGCAAACATTACCGTACTTCAAATTATAATAAAAAAATTTCTCTTCGGCAAAGTTGATTTAGTGTATGTCAGCTCAGATCAAGGAGAGACAGACAGACAGACAGACAGACAGACAGACAGACAGACAGACAGATAGACAGACAGACAGACGGACAGATAATTGGATAGATAGATAGATATATAGATGTTGGAAGGTAGGTAAGCGGAAAAGAGGTGGGAAGGGGAGGGAGAAGAGGGGAGGGGAGGGAAAAATATGATTTGAAAGAGCACAAACAGCGAGCTGAGAGATGAAAATATGGTGATAATGAAGAATCATAATATGTTTGGTACATGCTTCAGAAAAAACAACTCTCTATCTGTACTGCTAGACTGTAGTCTGAATTACATTTCTAAGTCAATAATAGTGCGATCTGTCTTCAACCATCATTTTTGACTGCTGAAACAGATTTTGAAGGGGTAGATGTGTATACCAGACAGTCAAAATCTATGCCTAGATTTCTGCAACGCAGATCCATAAATTCAAGTTAGCCTAAACTCAAACCCATGCTCACTTCATCAGGTCGTTGACTAACACGCTGCTTCTAGGAACCAAAGTTTAGAATCTAAGCCAGCCCCTAGAAGCGCTGTTGTAATGGGAATAATTAATGAAGTTGCTGGGAGACAAGAGCAGAAAAGTCACCCCATGTTCACATAGCAGAAAAGTCACCCCAAGTACACAGATCAGAAAAGTCACTCCAAGTACACAGATCAGAAAAGTCACCCCAAGTACACAGATCAGCAAAGTCACCTCAAGTTCACAGAGCAGAAAAGTCAACCCAAGTACGCAGCGCAGCAAAATCATCCCATGTACATAGAGCAGAAAGGTCACCTCATGTTCACAGAGCAGAAAAGTCACCCCACGTACACAGAGCAGAAAAGTCACCTTATGTTCACAGAACAGAAAAGTCACTCCTAGTTAACAGAGCAGAAAAGTCACCCCCAAGCACACAGCGCAGGAAAGTCACAAGTACATGTACCCAGAGTTGCCAGTCACAATACGTTGGCCTCTCTGGACGCGTGGGGGCGGGGGGGATTTTAACTGTTCCCAGAATTAAGGTAACGGTTTTCAAGGATATATTCTACATGGCAGGTCATAGCAGATACGGCTGTGCCGAAAAATACACATATTATAATATACTGGCACGGAGTAAAAAAAAGCAGAATAGAATCCATTGTATAAGAAATTCACATTCGGAAATAACAAGATTTCCTCAAATTTTAGTCTGGAAAATCAGGGCGTTCTCGCCGGCAAATATTCCAGAATTCTTTTTAAAAAATAATTTCAATGCTAAATGTTTTACGCCTCCTTCGACACAATTTAATTCATTTAGGAGGCGGCCTGAATTCTTGAAAGGTTCCACGTTCTAGAACATTTCTGAGAGATATGTCAATGAGATAACCGTGAGTCATAAAGACGACGTAGATTGAAACCTGTTCTGACCACGCAATCAGGATTACGCGATGAGCAAACGGTGACCTTAGATTATCGTCAGTCGGTCATGTCATCTTCTGGCTGGTCAGAGAATCTCATCTGGGGCGAGTTCTCGGACGCTGCGCTCACTGGAGAGATCTGAGGTAGGTAGGCGCCGTGGCCTAAGGAAGAGAAGGAGGGCGACTCCGGCATGGCGGTGCTACTGCTGTTGCTGCTGCTGTTGTTGTTGCTGCTGCTGCTGCTGTTGCCTGTGGAGGGCTCGCTAGGTGGTGGGCTGAGGGTGGTGGAGCCACCAGACACACTACCATGAGGTGAGGGCACGGACTGCGCAGAGGAGGAGCGGCGCACCATAGGGTGCTTCGACGTCATCGGTTTCGGGGTGCTGCTTCTCAGAATGTTGGTCTCACACAGTCTTCCAAAGTGTATGGCCGTCGTGTTTGTTGTCGCAGAGTGAGTGGTTATGTAGCTGCTGTTGTTGCTGTTATTGTTGCTGTTGTTGTTGTTGTTGCTATTCTTGCTGTTGTTGTTGCTGTTGTTGATGCTGTTATGGAGCGACAGTAATTGAGCGTCGTTTCTTAGGACACTGGGAGAAAGAGGGGCGTGGGTTAAGTTTGGAGATGATGGAGATAGTGGTGAAATAGGGGAGATGGGGAAAACGGCTTTGTGCTGCTGTTGGACGTGGGTGGAAACGATAGAGTGAAGTGGGGTGGTCGTGCCAGAAAGAGGAAGCTTGCAACTTTCAGATGCATTGACGGCCTGTGGTGACATTGTGGTAAGTGTTGCTAATTTCGGATTGTGGTTAGCCATTCTCTCTTGGCAGGATATATCCTGGCTCAGTTCGGCGGTAGTTCCGAGCGTATCATTTAGATTGACCAGAACCAAAGCTGGAGACTGTAGATTGTTGTTGGAGGCGCTCGTCTGGATCAGGGAGCCCAGGTTTACGTCAACGCTGAGTGGTTCTTGTGAGATGTCAAACGAGGACGCCGAAAGCCCTGCAGTCTCGTGGTGCGTCTTCAAGTACTTGACGATTCTTTGCAAAGCCTGGCTACTGTTTTCAGATCTGGGGGACGTCATGCCAGAAGAATGGAGATGGCTCCCGGAGAAAAGATGCTGAGGGGATGGGATGGGGGGTGAAGAGTGGGAGCTCGAATCCGAAGACTGGTTAAGATCAACTCCAGCGAGAAGATGTGTTGGATTCTCCAAGCTGAGGTCTGTCACGGCGATGTAGTGTTGTCTTCCTTCCTCGTCCGATTTGTCGTTACTCGATGAAGTCCCGTTCTGCTGCTGGTGGTGATGGTGCAGAGCCTGGAGGACTTGAAGTTGGTTCGTTTGGTTTTGACTGCCAAGATGCTGGGTATTCTGCTGCAGAACATTCCACTGAAGGGTAGAGGATGGGCCATCGCCGTTGGTCTGTTGCCTTGATAAGTCGGAATCTGGTGAGTTTGATACGTTAGAAGGAATCGCGGAGATGAGACTCGCGGGGTTCAGAACAAACATACTGATTTGATCAGGAGCTTCTGGTGTACTTTGGACGTCCGAGTTTAGCTTGGATATTTTGGCAACAGGGGATTCGGCACCAAGCGATTCGTGTTGACCTGAACTGACCCTTCTCTTTCCGATATGTGGTGTGCTGGCAAAGTGTGCGTTCACCAAATCAGCAACTGTTTCAAGAACACCGCTCGAGCTGACAACTTTGATGGGTCCTTCGTGTGACTCCATTGCGTTATCCGAGTCCTCGTCACTTCCCTGGCACGAATGAAGATCTTCAGCAGTGGACCTTACTTCTCGGCTGACCTTCTTCATTACTGTACCTATAGAATTATGATCTAGAGAGAAGCAAAGGCCTCCTGCTTTGTGAGCAGGTGCTGACTCTAGCGTGGCCTCTGGAGAAATAGAGGTCATTTCTTGTTCTTGTTGGTGTTGCTGCTGTTGCTGTTGTTGCTGTTGTTGCTGTTGTTGTTGTTGTTGTTGTTGTTGTTGTTGCTGTTGTTGCTGTTGTTGTTGTGGTGGTGGTTTCAGCAACTGCTGCTGTTGCTGCTGCTGCTGCTGCTGCTGCGCTAGGTACTGTGACATCATTTGCCGGCTGTCAGTATCACTGACTACATCGGGACACTGGCTGCACCAGATGTGCTCCATACAGAACTTGGCGAGGACCTCTTTCTTGTGTCGCAGAAGGCTCACCTCGTTCCGCAGCTCTGCGTTGCTTTCCTTGAAGGTGTCCATGCGCTGGGTAGAATGGATAGAGAGAATATTTTTGTTGTAGATTTTCAGTTGACGAGATGATAAAACTTGATTTTGCTCCAAATAAGATTGGTTAAAGAAAAAAGAAAATATAAATACTTTCCGTTATAAGTCGGATTGCGTTAACATTATAAGTGTTTCGTCTCTTGTGTCTAAAAGCTACAAACAGTGGGTAAAAAGACCAATAACCCTTACATAAGAAGAAAAGATTTTTTGAGGAAATGTTTGATATTAATTGAATAGATATTTAAAGCAAAGAGCGAATGAATGGCAGAGATAACAGAATTTCTTTGCTTTCAAGTATAAACAATGAAACATCATGAATGTTTTTATTACGGTATACAGATTACATTACATGTATCAGGACCACAAGTTGCAACATTTAACAACGTCTTGATTACATCGTTAATATATTACAGACACGTTCAGAGGTGAATCAAGGGTGGCAAGACCACTGAGGTTTAACTCTACTAATTCTTTTTTTCCTAACGTTTCAAAAGTAATACCATTTTTTGTGTACATTCAAATAGGAATTCAAAACTGACCGAAACAGCCCAATTATTGAGAAAGGGTGGGTGGGAGGGGGGGGAGGAGGGGTAGAAAGCATGTTTTTCATAGTAAAAAATGTCACTAAAACCGTCTGGATAGATAACAACAACACTAAAACCATGGCTATCATTTTACATTATCCTGCGTATCCTCACCTCGGCAATACTCATGGTTTTCATTTTACGCCGTTCTCGACATTTTTTGGCTGCTCTTCGATTTTGTTCCTTTCGCCTCTCTCGCTTCCTTTTCTCTTCGTCCGTTAACTGAAACAAAGATAAAATGGAAATATTAGTTCAATGCTGCTGTCTACATACCATCGACATTGTCCAAGAAGTCCACCCATTGTACAGGAGAAAAGCAAAACCAGTTATCTTAGACAAGAGGACGTCTTGGGTAATGTCATTATGATACATGTAAACCAAATACACACCATTATATGTATATGTATTATAAATGTAGAGAGGAAGGGCCCGAAACAGCGACGTATTCTCTCCTGATGATCTCCGTGCTAGATAGAGTCCGGGATACGCTGGAGCGTTCGGCTGTTTTAGACTACGTAATAGAGCTGGGCGAGGAATCAATTCTGGAACCGATTCCTACGATAAATGCTACGGAAGAAAAGTTCCGACTCCTTTTTACATAAACCAACGGTTACCAGTTACTATAATCTTTAAAATTTTCTTCTTTTCTTTTAGAATTTATTTTTCAAATATAAAAATTGATGCTTTGTAGTCTTCCGAAATCAAGGTTATCCTAAATCCTGAAGATGTTCGGTGCCAACCAGGTAACCACCGGAAGAAATCACATCCTTAGAAAGTAAGTAATTGGGTTCGGAGTCGATTCCTACGATTCCTAGCTTTCAATAGTCGGGAACCTGGCTGCCCAGCACTACTACGTAAGCCAGAGGGGAAGAGGGAAGCAGGCCTGCTCGTTTGTACAGGAGACTGTCTAGAACAGGCGGTCGTTACAATAGATTCAACTGTACTAGATCATTTTCTGTTATGTTTCCTGTGCTTTTAATTTTGAAAAATAGATATCTAGTGTTGCGGCTGTAATGTGTGTGCGTGTGTGTGTGGAGGGGTGGGAGGTGGGGGTGGAGGGGGTCAGGTGTATTGACTATTGCCACAGCGGGGAGGCAAAAACATAATACAAAAAAAACAGAAAAAAGTAGCAATAGATCTAATACAGTTTCCCTGTATCGGTTTAAATCAGGGAATTTTGGGTGGCATCGCGGTTTTTTCTTTAAAAACAAATTTTTCAAACCCAACCAAAACAGGAACAACAACAACAACAACTAAAATGAACCTCTATCTGGTCAGATTTACATTCCCGCCGCTTCAGAGTTTGTTTGGGTTGTTTTTTCTCCAGATTAGATAGAATGAAAGAAACAATGCCATCCATAATTCACTGATTTCAACAAATACATGGAAACCGTTTTACGTCTATGTTTTTCTGGTTGATATGTGTTGCGATCACCGAAAAGGAAAAAAAACACAGTAAGGGGGGGGGGAACAAAAGAGGTATAATTCAAAATGATACACGCATACTCTTTATATTGTCTTCATTGTTGTAGCTATACTGTGTTTTATGTGAATGTTGGTGTAGCCTTTAATCTATTGTACAGCCCACTGAAATCAAATTCGGAAAAAGTGCATGGTGATTTTTTTAAAAATAACATGCCTACATATGTTTCTGTAGATTTTGCATTCTACTTGGTCTTGCATAACAAAACTGATTGGGACTTATGAAAGATGTACATCTAAAAGAAGGACTCCCC